TCTATTAATATCTATATATTATCTTGTAAGGTGGTTGAGATATACGCGTGTAGAGGTGCGCAAAGTTGGTGGGGTGCGTCACTCGCTTGTACGCGTCACTCGCTTGTAAAACATGTTATCATCGATTACAATACCTACACCCAACTACACTCCACCACCCAACAATTACACAACAACGCCTAATTATAACAAACAATAATAACAATCCTGCACTACACTCACAATAGCCAATACTGCTACTAAGACAAAACCGACACCAAAGCCGAAAAAAAGCGCACACGATGCTAGAACTAGTGGCAAGTCTGTTCTTAAGCCCCTCGCAGCTAAGGCGGCACGCAAAAAGGCAAAGGCTGCGCTAAGAATAAACAAGGATAGCACTACTCGCAAGAAGCGTCGGTTTAAGCTAGGCAGTAAGTTATCACATCCTATAATCACAGTATATACCTAACTTTCCCTAGCTGTAGCGCTTAGAGAGATTAGGCGCTATCAGAGAGGCACTAAGCTACTTATCCTCAAGCTGCCTTTCGCTCGACTTGTCCGCGAGATTTCCAACATTAAGAGTTCTAGAACTCGATAGGCGGCTTCAGCTATTAATGCGATGCAGGAAGTAGCTGAGACTTACCTTATTAGCTACTTTGAGGGTATGTTTATAAATTCTATATACTTATTTTATTCTTACTAACTATAATAGATTGCAACCTTAATGCTATTTACGCAAAAAGAGTTACTATTATGCATAAAGACTCACAGCTTGCTAAGCGCTACTACTATAAGTATCTAAATAATAGGAATATGCTTAATCCTACGTTGCATTAGGGGTAGGGGGACTTCAGGATATTTACGATAGATACTAGACCTTGTAATCTAATCTAATACTCTACTACACTGTAATAAATGCCTGTGATATTACACTGTGTACAATTACTCTTTACATAGATAGGTATATCTGGGTATGTTTGGGTATACTATACCCAACCCCAACCCACGCTTTGACCACCTCAACCCAACCCCAACCCACGCTAGTGTATACCTCAACCCAACCTCAACCCATCTTTAGCGTCAAAATCTGGGTATAAGGTACAGGTTGGGTTGGGGTCTGACAAATCAAACCCAACCCTGACCCAACCTATACCCATTTACCAGTCTAGATGCAGACACGTATGCATTCGAGACAACGGGTCAGCTTCCAGTTCTTAACACGATCAGATGTGATCAGCAGGGTGGTGTCGCTCTGTTCGATCTGAGTGACTGTACGTGGGGATCCTTCTATGATACAAATGCGCCAGGGTACGAAGTGCCTACCAAACTTGTAGAGAGGATCGGCGGAACGTGAGTAAAAAGATCCTATATACATTTATCTCCGTCAGTCAGGTCTGACTTCTCTTAGTAGGGCCGGCGGTGCCACTGTGGTGGAACCTGTCAGCGGGTATGATCATCCAGCCATCTCGGTCATGTTCAATCGGCCTGCAGCAACGAGCTCCCTTTCCGATCTCTCAGTACACCCAGATGGTATCAAGTCCAGTCATATCGCCGGTGCTGTCGTCGGAGCAGTTGGAGGCTCCTTCATCTTGGCGATTCTATTGGTTTGGGCTATAAAATGGAGGAGGAAAACTCTACATGCAGCCAAGCCAGACACAGCTATCGCGCAAGAAAAGGAAGATGATTTCTCAATCACACAGGAACTACCCGCGAAGTCGATGCGTGTGGAACTTGATGAGCAGCGATACATTGCTGAACTGGACGGTGAGACAGGAAGTTTTGATACAGCAATGTGAGGAACAAACAAAAATAATAGTAAGCCGGCGTGGTCAGGGGGACAGCGCTGATCCGATCTCTTCCGGGTCACAACTTCGTGTACGATGATATTTATCATGACTCTTTAGTTTATACAACTATCTGTGTCACTCTTTGTTAATCAGTTCTAAGCATCTTGGTACCTGGATTAGTAATTGGTTATTACGGAATTAGTGCTTACTTTGAAAAACTCCAACCTCGCCTTCGTGACCAATATTTATCCGTCTACCTGCGCACACAAAGTTTGCAGGATTTACGCCCTGCACGCTGCCACGGAGGTTTGCAGCTATGGGATTGGGTACCACACCTACTCCCAAGCTTTTGTTACACCCAGTCATCCTTCCTCATCCAAGTCCTTTGGTATCCAGACTTTGTTTCAGCTCTTCCAAAGAGTTGCAGAGGCGATGTTCGATAGCGTATGGTCTCAGTCACCAGTTTCCTCCATGCCTCACCGCTTCGGCCGTACTCAGTGACCATTATATCTTGGCAGAGTACTGACGCCCGTACCACCTCACTGCCTCCGGGCTGGTGTGCTGATTGTGGCGTCTTACATTCAGGGTTACCCCACTGTTGGGTGAACTCAGCGGGGTAGACTGGGCAGCTGCATCGAATCAATTCACAAAGTCTTATCGCTAGGTCAGCAAGCTACGCGGAATATCTGGCATGACCAATACATCCTTTGCCGAAGAGGATCCGGACGTAGAATATGATATCGCAAGATCCTAAGCCTGGAAGGTCTCCACAAGGCTTACCCACTAGAAAAAAGAGGTTCACTTTATAAGCTTGATAGCGGTGGCGAAACGAACTCGTATCTCCCTACAGATACAAAGAGATCTTTTGCTGTATTCACTCTGTGAAGATCACGACCAGGTGCAGCCAGTTGGTACCAGCGATCACAATCTTAGCGTTCTCGCTTTTAAATCACATTCACGCAAAGAAGAACATCATCAACAACACAAAGCCATGAGATGTTTCAACGATCATGGGTTCTCCGTGACGCATCTTTCCAACGATGGTTGGTCTAACGAGGATGAAGCTACTGCCACGTGCTTTTGTGGAGCTGTACAGGTAGTTCTGGTTAGTTTATCCAAGCGAAGTCTGCTGCGATACCGCTTTGCGTTTGCATTTCACCACTCCTGATAATAGACTTCACGAGCTAACAGACATGTGCAGCCACTCCGGAAACCAGGTTTAATAAATCGTCATGTTTGTCATTGCCTCGACTGCCGCAAGATTGGTTCCGCCTTCTACCAATCTAATATCACTGTGGCAGACTCACATCTCAAGTACGTTCGTGGTGAGAACAATCTCGCGACATTTGAAGAAGCTACGACAGTACGGGCCAACGCATCTATGACGAATTATTTCTGCAAGACATGCGGAACTCTGATGTACCGTCGCGGCGCTCGATTTCCTGAGATGACGATCTTGCGCACTGGCACTGTCGATGATCCCACTCTAGCAGAAACCAAGTTGCGTCCGCAGGTAGAGCAGTTTATTGAAAGAAGGGCCGCTTGGTCGGTGCCAATTGAAGGTACGGCACAGACAGTAGGGATGCATCAGCCTTCTGACATTGCGGGGATTCCGTAAATATTTCACTACCTTTGTGCAACTGCCTACAGTCTTTCCTTCATGCCTCAGTTAGCCTTTAACCTAGCATCATTCGACGTTCGTAAAGAGACGATAACTTCTTTAGAATTTAAGCCAGACTGCCATTTGACATTGCCGTTATGTTGCTGAACGAAGTCCACTGGATGTGACTCGGCGTATCGTAAGATGAAACATCTCTAAAATGGCAAGTTGGTAGAACACATATTTCATGTCTGATAGTCGAGCAACCCGAGCGGTGAATGGTCCCTTTCTCCAAGGGGTTCCGCTTGGTCCACTGATGAGAATCCGAAGTTGCTATCGCAAATTGGCTCGTTGAATGCGTGCCCTGGTATCGTGGTATCGAAAGGCTGTAAAATGGCGTCCCAAGTGGATAGAAAGATTTCAGATCCTGACCCCGCAAAGATTCCAGCTTCCGTACCTTGACATTCAGATGAAAGAGAGCGAGCAGTGGAGATGCCAGCCAGCATCCTTTGATACAGCTGCTGAACAACATCGAAAGCTGAGCTGGCCAGGTCATTCGCGGGTTTGAGCAGTTTCAGTCTATCTAGAGCCCACTCTAAATTTCTCTTTGCTGCGGGGTATTGGTCTACAAACTCATCTGGAAAACGAATGTGCATGGCTGCAATGAGTATCGTAGCATCAAACGTGGCAAATACTAGTTCAAAACTCCTGTGTTGCAAAGGCTCTGTCCGATCAAAGAGGCGGGCCTGGGACTCCAAAATCTGCGTTGCGAAGTAATATGCCTTACTGCGACTGCTTGAGGATAAAGACACGAACGGTCGATGTAGGGCAAACAACACGAAGTGTACATTGGTGAACATGATTTCCAACGCTGTGGAAAGCCAGGCAGATTGGTTCGAACGTGATCCCCAGGGTGTAGCCCACGCAGGAAGATTAGCAATATTAGCGAGGATGCTTTCGTGAAGCTGTTCAACCAAGAGAAAGCCATTAGCCTTCTTCTCGAGCCCGTGTATATCCTGCAGGTATTTGTAGGCTGTATGAAAACCACAAAGGATGACGTCGCGGGGCCGCGGCAGCTCCTGCTCGATCGGGCTGTCATTCCACGAACCGGGGAGGGGGATGTGGCTAGGATCCAGTTTGGTCACCATCGGTCGTCCCAGAACCACAGCCATGTGGGCATCCCAAAGATGGAGCATTAGCCAGACCCTACATCCCAAACTGTGGTCTGGTAGATTTTGATGCCTGGGACTCAGCGTGTTGGCTGACGTCTCCAGGTGAAGACCGAGTTCTTGACCGTTGCGAATCGCAGTTCCGATAGAATGCCACGCCTCTACCACCTTCCCGGTATTCTTTTCGAAAGAAGCGCGCAACAGTCCAGCCTGAATCGTTGTGAGTGTGAGCTTGCTTTTCTCAACTAAAGAAGCGAGACGCAGGCCTGCATCACTAAATTCTGCTGCTCGATCGGATAGTTTCATGTCGGGTGCATACTTCAAGTCATTTAGACTGTCGTCATGGTCCAGTGGTTGGAATAGCAAAGACTGTGCCAAAATTTGGAATAGCAATGCCGGAAATGACCATAGGTCGACTGTCAAACCATTGGGGATTTCCTTCAACTGATTATATGGAAGACTTTTCCACTGGCGAAGTTGGTTCAGAAAAATAGCCTCGTCCACTATATCGTAATGCCACGATACGTTCGTAAAAAATGCGTGCACTAGCAATTCGATGTGCCTCCACGATGGGAGTTCTCGGACGATCCTTCTGTACTGGTCTGCTGAGAGGCTATGGCGAAGCCCAGAGTCGGATTGGAGGTTGGGGGGACCTGCGATGCAACAAATGATACCCATGGTTCCGTTGCTGTCATTGGCGTAGCCAAGCTGTCTGATTGCGGATTGGGTGACCGTTGACAGTGTGGGAATCCCGTCTGCGTAGGTTGGCGGAGTGACAGCGGGTAGACTTGGCTGATCCTCGACCTCAAGAGGAAGATTGGCGGGTTGCGCACGATCATCATTCAGCTGGTAAAGACACATATCCTGTTCTGTTAGCACCGTGGCACACTCCAGGACGATAGCATACACTCTTGCCGCGCTTTATGCAATGTAAGCATGGTTGCCGGCGATCGCACTGTGTGGTCAGCCTGGCTATCGGCATGAAGATAATGAATGTTACCTTTTGCTTACGTCTGTGACATTCGCGGCACGAAATCGTGGGGCGATTACGTCTCGCATGTGATTCGACGTGACCGTTATCTTCGTGCATGGCGGTATAGCTTTAGCAAGAGCGGGACATTGAGGGGATGAAGCTGGCCGATGAGGAAATTAATGTACAGAGCTGAGACTGATGATACATGAGGCGATAAAGAGCCGCTTGGCCCTGACGGGCGCTAGGATTACGAAGATGAACAACCCCCACCTTAGTATGACCAAGGAAGAGCTGACGTTTTACCGAGGTTAGGCCGGACAGCCAATCAAGGGCTGCCGGATCCTCCATAGAGGCTTCTGGTAGCTCAACCGAAGCACGGATCGTCTACAGAAGAAGAACTACTTAGGAGTCGCCCGCATCCCAAGCTCCTCGAGCTACGTCCTCTCACTCACTCAACCTATAACCCGTAGCTACCATTAGTGATATACCGATCACGTGCACCTTGCTCCTTTGTTTCCCCGTACCGTGAGATCTGACGTAGATCAAATTTAGGTAAGTGAGCATACTTTATTCTTATACACCAACCTAAGGGGTCAACCGTTTGCAGTCATTAGAGAGTCCATTCTCTGGAAAGACATACGTGACCATTCTGTGTAAATCAGGCGTCATCTCGAGTTGGGTACATTATGAACCATGACAAGCAACCTGGGACTTGTAGAAAGATGTAGTCTGCGCAGTCAAGTAAGACTGACTCAACGATGTGCACACTGCGTTCTATTTACATATTTACTTGTTTGAACCAGGCCGCGATTTCGCCAATGTTACGATCGACGACATCCGGCTGCTCGTAGTGCTGGAAATGCGACGCGCCATTATCCCAAACCAGCTTCTTGGCCTTGGTCGGGATCGATTCGAAGTGCCTCTTTGCTGCCGGCGCATTCATGCAATTATCACCATGTATTACCAACGCTGGCTTATTGAGTTTTGCCACGCCGGAAACGGTTGAATAGCCGAAGTGATCTAAATCACTCATGACCGCGTATCGATTCTCGAACCCCTTCAATGTCCAAGGACCATACCACGACCATGGAACCGGTCCAGGAAGACCGGCAAGTGAGCCGACCAGAGGGTCTGCAGCTTTGGGGTCCACAAGAGGTTGGTAAAGGACCTCTCCCGTTTCGTCGTACAGTTCCTTAGCTTTTCTGGCCCTCTCGATACGCGCCTGATAGAGAGCTTCTCCTTGCTCAGGTGTGGGCATCTTCATAGCTCCTACATCAACGCCTGGCTCGATGTTGACACAGCCAGCACAGATCATGTAAACATCCGTCTCATAATCGCGATAGTATCCTGTCACGGAAGCCACAGCGACGACACGATCGTCATATGACGCAACATCCAGGCACTCGGGACCGCCCTGGCAAACACCAACCAGAAACAGTTTCTTGGCATCCACATCTCCTCTACCAGCGAGGTAGTCGAGGCCGGACACAACGTCTTCGTTCTTCATCCAGGGGTTCTCGAGACGCCGCGGTACTCCAGTACTCTCTCCGACCGTGCGTGGGTCGAAGATCAAGGCGGCGTAACCTTCGTCGGCGAGCCGCGTACCATATTGTAATGGGGCTTGCTCCTTGACGAATGAGTATGGACCGAGGACAACAACGCCAGAAGGATTAATGATGCCTTTGGGCATGTAAAGGATGCCAGTGATTGTCTCCCCGTGAGATGGGTAAGTTACTTTTTCGGTAGTGTACCGGCCGTGGCAAGCCATAGTATGAGCTGAATTCGAAGAAGACCGAGATGGTGATACAAAGGGTTGCCAGTTGATACCGAAAGGCTGTGTTGAATACTGGTTGTTGAGCCAGTGATGAGGAGGATACACCTGGACATGCTTATATAGCTTAGTGTGAACATACACTTAAACACAATCGATGCCTTTCCCCTGAGGAAACGTTTGGTCGTTCAACATAGCCGTGATTAGTGTATCGGTCGTCCAAACACCGTTTATGGTTTTCGGCGATAAGATGTACTCGATTTTCGGCGATAAAACTCACCTACCCAGGTTCGGAGTTTCGGGCTCACAGACCATCGCCATTATGACGCCAACGACCAGATCATCCTAGCGCGGCCGCTGAACCCCTGTTGACATTGATGGGCAATCCGCGCAACCCTTGCCCCCGATCGGTGGTCCCAAGCGGCCTGACAGGGTATGCTCCAATACTTCGACACGCGCACAACGAGTCAATGGTTCTGCTCTGTCCGCAAAACCTTCAGTGTGCACAGGATATAGCGATGAAGCTTTTCCGAGATCGTAGAGATGGTCTCTCTACACGATATAATGCAACATGTTTTGGAAGTGTAGGGTACCTTATGGGCAAAATGCGCTGGATCTGGGTTTGTTACATCACACACGATATGGAGATTGACGGACAGCCTGGTCTCGGCGAAGTCTGGTGCAAGGCGCACGTATCGAGACGCTGAGATAACGTGTCGACGTCGCGTAGACATGTGTATCTGTGATTTAAAGAATGTGTGTCTGCGACAGTTCATCGACATCCCGAAGGCCGTCGGCGCTCCAGGCGATATGTTTTCGTACACACAGCTGTGCTCACATGAAGCATCGCCCACAACGCCCGCTGAATGCCCCGAAAGATTGCGGAATGCATCAGCGATATCGTCTTCGGTCATTGGTTCTACTTTACGCCCGTGGAAACATGTGTTAGTGTCTGACTGCATTGCCGCCCGGGCGTACGAACCCCGCATGTTCCTTCAAGACTTCTCTGGGCCTCAACACAGCCCTACTAGAGATAAGGTATTTACGACCGATCGTATGGCGGTGTCTGTGGTCTAAGCCTCTGGCCAGAATCCTTCGATCCAATGAAGGTACTACTTCATGCGGTCGGAGTTAGGTGTCATGATCCTAGGGAATATTGGAGCGTCGGGCATAGAGCTAAGCGCCGAAAGAGTATCCAGCGGCATGAAGCTTTAAAGGCTGAACATGTAAATTCATTCAAATTAATAGCATCTTCCTCCTCATATTCCCGAATCTCTCCTCCCGCTACTCCACCTTGTCGGTGAACCGAAACTGTGTCACACGCACACCTAAAATGTCTTCTCAACCGCCAGTCTGGTTCATTACGGCAGCCTCGAGTGGCTTCGGCAAATATATAGCTCTTGAGGCTCTCTCTCGCGGCCACAAGGTTATCGCCAGCGCGCGTAGCACGTCGCGCCTCCACGATTTACAAGAGAAGGGCGCAGTGACTGTTGCACTCGATGTCACAGCACCGCAAGCAGTGATCGAAAAGATTGCGCAAGAGGCTAATGCGCAGTATGGCTGTATCAATCACTTAGTCAACGCGGCTGGTTATATCCTTGTTGGTGCAGTCGAGGAGACCTCGTAAGTCATGCTCTGGGCACCCGGTACGCCTCGAAGATATTGGACTGAATCAAAAGCAGACCTAAGGAGGACTTTGATCAGTTCAATACCAACGTATTTGGCATGCTGAATGTCTCAAAGGCCTTCCTACCTTACATTCGCGCTACTTCCGGTCACCGCACTATCGCGAACTTCGGCAGCATCGGCTCCTGGCATGGTGGTGCAGGCTTCGCGCTCTACGCTGGCACCAAGTGGGCATGCAGTGGCATTACCGAGTCGATGCGCAGTGAGCTTGCGCCACTAGGGATCTCTGTGACAGTCATCGAGCCGGGATACTTCCGCACTGGCTTCCTCAATGATGGTACGCAAATCAAGAGCGAGAAGAGAATCAAAGCGTACGATGAGACAGCTGTGGGCGAGGTCAGGGCAACACTGGATAAGGTGAATAACAATCAGCCTGGTGATGTGAAGAAGGGTTCTAGGGTAATAGTCGACATCTTGACGAAGACTGGCGCCGCTGAAGGAAGAGACGTTCCGATGCGCGTGGCGCTGGGCTCAGATTGTTCTCCTGGCATCCGCGAGAAGATCGAAGGGACCATGAGGTTACTGGCTGAGTGGGATGCGATCACAACCAAGACTGACCACGAGTAACTTAGGGACAGCAAGCAAGCACTAGTCTAGCGTTCTGCACAAACTGCGCGGTTGATGTTCTGATGCGCAGATATATACACAGATTACATTTGCAACTATCGAATCTCTATACTCCGTACTAGACGGCGGTCTTATGAAACTGCAGATGAACATGGTCTCGATTATGAATCAGCTAACTTAACCCTAACCCCCTTATCACGAGTAACAACCATTTGCAGTGCGTCTGCTCACCTATGTAATCGTTGGTGCAAAACCAGATGTTCATGTTACGAGTCCGCAATCGCAACATCCAGTCCATCGGGCTAGCCATGACCCCGTAGCTGCTCAACATCATAAAACGATTAGCAGTTTTCCAGATCAGTTGAAAGTAGTTTATAGCCATTTCATGGGGGTCTTACGGGGGGTGACCCTCCTTACTCGTGATTATGGTCGCACGGTCTTGACGTGTCTTCGCTGCCGGATGTCACCCCAGCATCCGTACAGTGGTAGTAATAGCGGACATGATAGGCATGTACGCTAACAGTGCCCTCTAACCGTGGTCACCATCTACCCCTATTACTGCTGTGGTGCTGACGAGCGCGCTCTTCTACACGTCGTCTTACAGGTAATAGACTAACAACGATACCAAGAGTTTCAAGATGTGAGCCTCCAACAGCTCTTACTCCTCTTCGTCCTTCTCCTTGTCGCTCTGTAGGTCGTTATCTCCGCCTTGAATTAGACAGTGCTATTCTGCGCCTACGACTTCGTCCTTGTCTTCATCTGCGACTTGCTTGTTCTTCTACAACGACACAATCTCGCTGGGCGTTAATTCGTACAGTGACTTGTGTCCTTAACACTTTTTGATCTGAAAATAGTGCAGGCGCTTGGAGGTAGGCTCACTATGGCCCCCTTTGGTCGCCAACCATCCGTCTTGATGCACTACGACGAGGGACGATGTACATGTGCGACGCTGCGTTACAGATGCTGTAAGCATATGACAGTCGGGATCTCTTACAAAACAGGAACTGAGGTCTCTTCGGGAATCTACGCGACAACATCTTGTCCCGACACTCCCAACATTGATGTCTATGAGTTTCTAATCGAATTGAAATTCACGACATGATGCCAGGACATGCATTATCCCACCATCGGTACCATCTCCTGTACTCACAAGAACAGCGCTTCTGCGACGGAAAGACGGTTCAAAAACTACCTATATATGCTGTTAGTACCTTCTACCTGTCTACTTTTGCTCTTGTCCTACAGCTGTTCGTAGTAGTCACGACACGTTCGCCTTTGGGCCGCTTCGCTGGGTTGTCTACCGTAGAGTAGTCAGCGATGTCTCGCTACACATCCTTGGGCCGGGTTTAGCAGGGTCCTAGCGTGTATGCATCCACCATATCTATGCGCGCAGAGGTCTTATTACTAGTATCTCAATTGAATGAACTAACATCGCGATACCTAATGTGCCGTCTCTACGCTGAGGTATTATACAGCAGTGTCTTCGCTCGACTCCCCTGCCTTCGTCTCAATCTTGATCTCCGGACCCTCAATCTTCTTCACTTTCCTTCCTTCCCACCACGACATGATACCGGCGAACATCGCGACGCCGCATCCCAACGCGATGAATGTGCCTGTCGCCCACGTCGGACGATCCAAGCGATTGTAATGCCACATGAAAAAACAGAGGACCGCCTGCAGCAGTGTATTTAACACCATCATATCAACAGTGAACGCCAACTTCCACATGCTCGTTGGCGGCGCCCTCACTCCCGTGAACGTAGCCGGCTCCAGGTTCTCCCCACCACGTCCTTCGCTCTCGGTGAACCACGCAGGTGGTCGGAACCACGCTTTGTTCTGGTTAAAGAGGCGGCGCATAGCGTTCGGATCGTGGAAGTGAATGGCGCGCTTCACCCAGTAGAAGTCGCGGAAGCGCCAGGGTGCGAGGCCGAAGCCAGTGACGCAGAATAGTGCGTTAAGAATCTGGCTGTCGATCTCGAGCCAGATCTTATTCTGACTGTAGTCATTGTCGCAGTCGTAGATCTGCGTGCCACGCACATGGCACATGGCAGGGGCGGCCTTTAGAAGCAAGAAGAAGAGCATTGCGCCCCATGCCTGCAAATGTCAGCGCGCATGATTGTGGCAGGATGAGGGTCAACTTACCACGACATTGAGGCCATAAATCGTGATCAAGAAGCCAGACGGTGTGAGGAAAAACACCCAGAATGCTTTGAGACCGTTCTTGATGGTCGGACCCCACGATTCCTTGTGTGTAGATGCGTGCTTCTCCTTCAGCGTCTGTCGGCGGCGGATTCCATGCCCATGATGCCTGCGCAAATGCTTGTGGGCCTTCTCGTCTGTTTCTCCTGGTAGCACAGGTTCGTCTGTCGCTGGGCGATCGAGGACTCTGGTTTGCGACTTGACCAGAGTAAGCTCGCCATCTTCGTCCGGCTTCGCGATAAGCGTCGTATGGCCATGGGCATCGAAGGTGATGTTTGCGCCGCCGACTTCCGGTTCTCGCAGCTCGGTCAGATTTGGCGCTTGAGCCATTGCCGTCGCTGTGGCCTGCCACATGCCCAGCTGCGGCGTCGTGTGCAGCAGCGATGACAGGGACATTCCTCGCGCCCGCCCCGCGATGCCCTTCTCCTGGTTGTCCGTCATGGCTGGACGTGTATGCGCAATCGGCGTCGCGCAAAGTGTCCTTTCTTGTGTCCAAGGCGAAAGTGAAGGTTGAAGAAGAATAATCGTTATCGTTGCGGTCGCATGTTCCTCCGCTGTTCCTCCGTTCCTCCACGCGGTTCAAGCTAGAGGCGCTTGAGCCTTTGTATGCGGATCTCCGACGAACGTGATAGGCGTGCCGGCGCGAAAATCATCTGCGCGATGATGCGCGTGCGTCGGTGTTGAGGTCCAGGCTATTGAGAAGATCCGGCCGACTGTGATTACTTCGTACGGTGGTACGGGCGATGGTTTGCTGGGGGCGGTTGATCGCCAACCGAGGCGAGACAACGCGCTGTGGTTGGCGAGGCCTGCCGCAGAAGACCCGCAAACTGTAGATCTAGAGCCAGAAAAGCAAGAGGTGAGCATTGGCGCTACCGCTCATCTCAGAAGGTCCGACTGCATGCCCAAGCAAACGTGGATAATCTTACATTATGTCATCCAAGCCGTAATCTTGGGTCCGTATATATCGACGGGGACCCAATGTAGTCAGCATTAGCAGCCGGTATCGCTGTCGCCATGCCTTTGAACTTCCACAAGAACCAGAAACGCGGAGAATTCCATGACAGCAAAGCGCAAAGTACCGGACGAGTCAACGCCTTTGGCCAGGTCGCCATACAATTCCACAAGAACACGCATGCGCTGAGACATTGGATCGATAAGGCCCAGGATGAGGCCGCAGCATGCCGACCAGCGCGATGCGCAAGACCGCGAAGAGGAAGCACAACCCTAGTGGATGAGTTCATCAAGGAACAAACCAGCAACACCAGTGCACCGCGATTGAACATTGCGATACATATCTGTGGATCTCGGGGCGACGTGCAGCCCTTCATTCCGATCGCGAAGCTGCTTCAGGCCGCTCCACACCACCACCGGGTACGCATCTGCACGCATCCAGCTTTCAAGGATTTCGTGGAAAGCAATGGCGTGGAGTTCTTTTCGATTGGTGGTGATCCGGAAGCGCTAATGGCGTACATGGTGAAGAACCCTGGCCTGTTACCCAACATGCAGTCCATCAAAGCTGGTGATATCGGCAAGCGACGGAAAGAGATGGCCGAAATGATGGACGGGACCTGGAGAAGTTGTATCGAGGCCGGTGATGGTATGGGCGAGAGAATATCAGCGTTGAATGTGGACGCGGCGGAGGACTTGTTCATTGCCGACGCTATCATCGCGAATCCGCCCTCGATGGGACATATTCACTGCGCAGAGAAGCTTGGCATTCCGCTGCACATGGTCTTCACCATGCCATGGTCGCCAACCAAAGCGTTTCATCACCCCCTCGCGGCTATGGAATATGGTGAAGTCGAGAAATCTGTGGCGAATTACTTCAGCTTCGGCATTATGGAGCTGCTAACTTGGCAAGGCCTCGGAGATGTCATCAACAAGTTCCGAACGCAGACTCTAGGCCTAGACGCGATGAGTCCGCTGTGGGGTCACCGGTTACTCCCAAGGCTTCGTATCCCGTACAGTTACCTTTGGTCCCAGGCTCTGATACCACGGCCGTCTGACTGGGGCGAGCATATCAACATCACGGGATTCTCGTTTTTGGACGCCGGTTCAAACTACACTCCGCCTGATGACTTGGCCGAATTCCTCGCCAAGGGACCGCCGCCAGTGTATATTGGCTTTGGCAGCATCGTGGTCGACGATCCGGTAGGCCTTACCAAGCTTCTCTTCGAAGCTGTGAAGCTAGCAGGAGTTCGAGCGATTGTTTCCAAGGGATGGGGAGGTGTAGGCGGAGGTGACGTACCAGATAACATCTACCTCATCGGCAACTGCCCACACGACTGGCTGTTCAAACGGGTGTCTTGTGTTGTGCATCATGGAGGCGCTGGTACAACCGCTGCCGGGATTGCATTGGGAAAGCCTACAGTTGTTGTGCCGTTCTTTGGTGATCAACCCTTCTGGGGACAGGTATGTCTGTGGCGATCGATGATGGGGTTGTATTGACCTTTGTGACAGATGATTGCTAAAGCTGGTGCTGGGCCAGTCCCTGTCCCTTTCAAGCAAATGACTGCAGAGAGCCTCGCCAATAGCATCACCTTTGCGCTCCAAGATTCGGTCCAAGTTGCTGTGCAAAAAATGGCCGCGAGTATTGCAGAAGAAGACGGCGCAGGTGACACAATGCGAGATTTCGAGCAGAGATTGAATATCGACGCCATGCGATGTCAGTTGTGTCCGGAACGACTGGCTATATGGCGTGACAAACAGACTGGGGCACATTTAAGTGGATTGGCCGCATGTACGCTTGTCGAAAAGAAGGTACTCGATGTGAAGCATCTACGGCTACTGCGACATCGTCATTACTACACACATGAAGGAGCTGAAGGACCATTCGTAGGTGCTGTAGCAGCCTTCGGAGGGCTCATGGCTTCACTTGGCACAGATACGTCAGACTTCTCTCAACGCCTGAAGAGAAGACCACGCGAGTCGGACCTTGAAGCATTGAAGAGAACACTGACAAGGGACGATTCGGATGACGCCAGGCTGGAAAAAGGTATCACTTCGAGGCAATTCCACCATCTGGCATACAGAATGGCAGCGAGATCTTACGAAGACGATATGATTCACAACTTCGAGAAACCTTCAAGTCGGCCGGGGCTGACTGCCCTCCGTGACAGAGTCGCAGCAAGGAGAGCTAAAGGCGGTCGCGGGTACCAGATAGTCAGCGCCACCGCACACTACATCGGTGATCTGACAGCAACTGGTGCCAAGGCACCAGTCGCTCTGTTCTACAACATGGCCAACGGCTTTCGGAATTTTCCGTCGTATGCGATACGTAATGATCCTGCCAGGCGAAGAGATGAGATTACTGGGTTTGGAAGCGGATGCAGATTAGCCGGGAAAGAGTTCGTGCTCGGCTTCGGCGATGCATTGGTAGGTATTGCAAGGCATCCATATCTTGGTGCAAAGCAGGAGGGCGCTCTTGGCTTCGGTAAAGGGCTTGGTAGAGGTCTTGGTGGTCTTTACTTCCATTCGATGGCTGGTGAGTTGACTCTACGTTGTGAAATTTGCCCATCTGACGTTACTAGCAATCTTCGGCGTACCAGGATACTTCTTGAAGGGAATTGAGCGGGGACTGTTGGCGCGCCATCTCACTGCTGTCCAGGCCGAGATCTTCTTCATTCAGCTGCGCCGATCGGGTGTTGGCTTCCGTGGTGCGAGTGACGCTGAGAAGGTTGATCTGGTCGCGAAGTGGGAGGAACTGAAATCCAGCATATCTAGACATTAGCGTAGGATGAGTGAAACGAGCGCTGCAGTCTGCAAAGCTTAGTGTTGGGGTGAAGGTCGTGAGACGTCAAGGCAGTGCAGGAACAGCCGGGGGTTGGGCAACAGCGCCCGCGGGCCCCGTGGCCCCCACGCGCTCTAATTCGTCCGCATCAGGCTGCCAACACTAGGCGTGCTGAGACAGCTGAAGCCGTCACAAATAACATGTTGAACATTGCGCGGACCACAGAACTTTCTCTTCCGCTTTAATGTGCATTCGATCCTCACATTTTCTAGTGCGCTAGCGGTGTCGGCTGAGTACGCGCAGCAGGACGCCCATCACAGCCTCCTCAACGCCATCGACGCCCAAACGAAGACGCACCAGATCTCCATCGGCAACTGCAAGTGGCGCGCGCACTCGATGGCTGCAATTGAGCTCAATCGCATGATATGGCAGATTGCGCTATCTGCAGCGGCTGCCGCTATGGGCGTTTTTATGTTCAAGCTCGTGAAGATGCGCACGATCTTCTACAAGCTGAAGAAGCAAGGACTGGTACGCAACCCAGTTGAGCACTGCCGCCTATTTCAAACTGACACGATACAACTTGAAGCCCATACCGCCGTGGGATTTTGCAGCCGGTAATCTCAAAGTGCTATCAGGACTCCTTGAAAAGTTTCCCAAAGGCTCCCAACAATCTGATGTATTCACCCTGCTATCTAACGACTTCAAGGACTCCGACAACTGCTTTTACGTCGATCTATGGCCTTTTAGCAGTCCGCTCCTTGTAGTCACCTCGCCAGATCTAGCGATACAAGCATGTCAAGATCATGATCTTCCAAAGCCTCCAGTTCTCATACCGTTCTTTGCACCCTTTGCGGGTGGGCCCAATTTGTTTGATATGAACGGCGCAGAGTGGAAACGCTCGAGGGCGCTCTTCAGTCCGGGCTTTAGTGACAGGGTAATGCTTGGGAGCATACCGCATATCATCGAGGAAGCCGAAGTCTACGTGAAGCTGCTGCGAGAGCACGCGAAGAAAGGGGATACGTTCTCGCTGGACAGATTAACGTGCGACTACATGATGGATGTAATCGGTGCTATCACCATGTGAGTGCATGTCGCTTCGTTGCAGCGTGAACTTGTGCTGATGTGCTTTAGCAATACTCGCCTTCACTCCATGACTAGCCACAATGCGCTTGCAGCCGCCATGCGAAGCTCTATCGAATGGCATTGTCAGGATGAAGAGTTGAACCCTTTCGTACGCTGGAACCCTATGCGACCCTTGATCGAATGGTGGAACGGCAAAACCATGAATCGATACATCGGCACCGAGCTAGACAAGCAATATGAAGACTGGAAGACCAATGAGCCATCTAATCGTGCAAGTTCCGTCATGGACATTGCGATAGCAGCGTACATGACCGAGCGCAAGGCTGCGGCGAAGCTCGATGCCGACTTCAAGAAGTGGGCGACTATCCAGATCCGCCTGTTCTTGTTCGCCGGGCACGACTCGACCGCTGCGACGATTGTTTACAGTCTCTATCTGCTGTCCAAGCACCCAGATGCTTTGGCCAAGATTCGTGCAGAGCTCGATAAGGTCTTTGGGTACGGCATCGATACAGCTGCTACCGCACTGAAGATGCATCCAGAGCGCATCAATAAAATCCCATACACCACCGCTGTCATCAAAGAGACCCTGCGACTCTTTCCACCAGCTGCTGGCATGAGAGGTGGGCTTCCAGGTGTCTTCCTACGTGACGAGAGTGGAAACAAGTACCCTACCGAGGACATTAACATCTGGATCTTACACGGAGCAATACAGCGGAATCCAAGATACTGGCCTGAGCCTCATGAGTTCCTGCCGGAGCGCTGGCTTGTTGAGCCTGGCCATCCTCTGTACCCGCCAAAAGGTGGATGGCGGCCATTCGAAGCTGGCCCGAGGAACTGCGTTGGCCAAACGCTTGCGATGCTGGATATCAAGATCACCTTGGCGATGACAGTCCGCGAATTCGACGTTCATGATCAGTATGAAGAGTGGGACCGGCTGCATCCTTCGTCTGGTGTCAAGACGGTCTTTGGGGAGAGAGCGTATCAGGTACCGCTGGGAGCAGCGCACCCTGTGCACGGTTTTCCTTGCAAAGTCACAGCGCGAGGATTCTCGAAGAGTTAGTTGGTATAAGAAAGAAGAGTTGAGATTGGTGGAATCGGACGGACGCATTATCAGGCCAGTTGAATCTTCTTCTTCTGAGGTCCTTCTCACGTCGCTGTGTTGAGAAATCATGGGTGAGTTTGATGTTTGGTTGAGTTTTGGCAAGAAGGTTCCACTCGCCTGGCTTCCCCCGCTTGTGACCTACATTATCTACAATCCCCGACAGTTTGTAACATAGAGAGCATCCAAAGGCTGAGACTTGGAGAAACTATGATTGACCAGAATAAGGGCCGAATCGGTAGAAGCTGAGATAACAATTGTTCGGCTATCTTAGCAAGTGAACTGCGCGCTGCGACAGTTTGATTGGCTGCTCTGGGTCTCTACACCCCAATCTGTACTAAACGCCGGAGACCTTCCTAAACTGCGGTAGCGTGGCGCCTAACACGACATATGAACCCACTAAGTTACGGAGCGGCCCTTTCGTGGTATCGCTATCTTTACATTATTCGCTAATGGATGCGTACTATATCTGGCTAGGACACGCTTGCGTAGGATATATATTAATCACCGTGTGGAGCACCTGCTCAAGACGGCTTGGCAAGCCGAAGCATTCAATCGGAACCGACCAAGCTTTAACAAGAGATCATGGGGAAGCTTAAACACCTGCTCAAGACAGCTTGGCAGGTTGGCGGACTCACCCGAAACTGACAAAGCGTTGACGAGATACCATGGGGAAGGTTAAACACCTGCTCAACGCAGAGTGTCCCCCGTGCTTGCACACCATCAATGAGTTGAACATTGGGATATCACCCACGCCGAACGCCGGAGATTCCCGCCGCGATAGTACTTAAGAGGTGACTGATGCTTCAATGTTTGATACTCATCACTTCGAAACCTGCCTCCTAAGCAAGACCCTTTATCAAAGCTTGTCAATATGCTCACCAAGACTCTTCCGATCGTTCTTCTTGCTGGCGCAGCTTCGGCAGCTTGCCCTCTCTCTGTCTCGATCGCTCATGCAGACAACCATGTTGTGAACGTTCAAGTCACCAACACCGGAAGCGAGACGATCCAAGTCTTCAAGGGCAACACCGTGTTCAGTGCCCATGAGACCAAGGACTTGTTGGTAGCCGATGCAGGTACGCATACCTTCAATGACGATTACATGCCATGAATTCATATTGACGGTCAAAACAGCTGGCAATGCTCTTCCTTTTGAGGGGGTCTACGTCAACTACAAGAAGACCGGTCTTACTGCCGACAACTTTCAGAAGATCACGGCTGGAGAGACAATCACCGTGCCGGTCAATGCAGCCAAGAGCTACAAGCTCAAGGGCGTTCAGAAAGCCAAGGTCTCCGCTGTCCAAGGTTTCCGCTACGCCACAGGAGAGGAGGCTCCCGCTGCTCTCCAAGACCTGTCCTCCTGTGCGGACCAGACGACTGGTGCAGTCGAAGTAACTCCGGATCAAAGCAGCGCAGCTGAGTAAGCTACGACCATAACTCTGGCAAGACATAGGAACTGATATCAGCTCCCTAGGCAACACATCTCTCACAAGCGCTCTGAGCCTGCTGCCTCCCGCATTCAGAAGCGCTCCATCACTTACTCCTCGTGCTCGACGTCGCAAACGTCTACCCTCAAGACTAGCGTCTCAGACGCCATCTCCATGGCCGGTGCCGCATACACCGCCGCCGGCTCCGGAGCCGACTACTTCACCACCTGGTTCAAGTCAACTTCGGTGAAGTCCAAGGTACAGACCATCTACAACGACGTCAAGAACGTGCAGACAACCTCGCCCAAGATCTCTTGCACAGACACATACAACGACTGCAGCGACGGCTCGGCACTCCTCTACACCATCCCTAGCGCGAACGTCATTGTTCCGTGCCCCAACAACGGCTTCTGGGATTTCCCCGAGCTTGCCGCTCAGTGCAGCAACGACGATTACGACAAGGCTGGCAGCATTCTACACGAGATGACGCACTTGTACGGTACGAATGATTACGGATATGGGTATGTTGCAGCACAAAAGCTCAGCGCCACCCAGGCTGCTGCAAATGCGGATACATACGAGATGTTCGCAGAGAGTGTTAGGCTTGGTGGCTGCACCGTTGGTTAGATAAAGTAGTTGAGGGAATCTATCTATTAATTTACTTGTTAAATCCTTCTGAGTTTCAGCAGCGTACTGCAAATTTATGTATCATGTCACAGGCGCGATCAGGCAGTCCGGAGGGATGTTGAGATACGGTGCTCTGCGCTAAGACATCGGCTAAGAGCGCGACGATTCCCGAAAAGTTCGTTGGCATGAGAATGAAGAATTGAGATGTCTGACCTTAGAATGATTTGTTATAAGATTGCTTAACATGCAGCACTTTTGAGTTGAGTTCATCCATCTCCAACAGGTCTTCTCGAGGTGTCAGGACAACTTGGACCAGCTAGCTAATCAAAGCGCTATGTTCGCACAACATGCTCGAAGATTTCCAGCACTTTGATAGCACGAGCGGTGGGTTCATATGTTAGTTCGCCGACGCCTTTTGAGGTTGGGTCCTTCTTGACAGTCTCCCACAGTCGATCGTGGTTGCCTTCAGCAAAGTCGAGGAGGGTGTCGCGTACAAAGACATCCCGGATAACTTGCTGATCACCACAACCAGGGCGCTGCTGACCGACAATGCCGTACATCTCTGTACCGTGCACTGCAGGCGCGCCCTCGACAGGTCCGACAGTAAGCAGACGTGCATTACCACCTGCGGCCGCATGTGCAAGTGCTGCGCGGGCAGCGGGCAGGGTGAAGAAGTAGTCAGTGAAGAGTGCCCCTCGCACCTCGACCGGAGTGCGGCCATTAACATTGTACATAGCGACGATTCTTTTGGCGCGGCTTCTCGGAATGCGCGACATGATGACAAGCTCTTCGACCATATTGGAGATGCTGCCCGGGTCGAATTTCTCGGTCGCGTTGAGAACCCACCAGTCCGCCTCATCTGACGTCGTGCTGAAGATTATATCCACTTCACGGCATGCCCCTGATTTGAGCACCTCCAGCGGTGTGCTATCCAGAACCGCTCCGGGCTGAGAGCGATCGTCCACAATGCCGATAGTAGTATTATCTATACCATGTCGGTCACCAATATCGCGGGGAGTGACCTTGAAGAGTGTCTCAGCAAGAACCTTTGCGTCTAGATTGAGCAGTTTCTCAGGATCATCATCGATGTCGAGTGCGGCGAGAAACTTTACTGCCAGTTCTTCAGCCCACCAGGCTGGAACAATGCGGGATGCGCCTCCAGAGAACGCTGAAAGACGCTTGTAGAGCCCTCTAGCGGATGGAGCAGCGAGCAGGCCGATCGTCGAGTAGGCACCGGCGCTGTGTCCGGCGACAGTAACATTCTGGGGGTCACCACCGAAACACGCGATGTTCTCCTGCACCCACTTGAGTGCGGTAATCGTGTCCTGTAAGCCAAGGTTGGTGGCGTTGGCAAAGACGCCGCCATATTGAGAGAGCGACAGCCAACCGAATGGGCCAAGTCTGTAGTTGACGGACACACAGATGGCGCGGCCAGTCTGGGCAAGACCTGAGCCATTCGATGTTGCGGAGGTGTTTGCACCCACTTCAAAGCCCCCACCAAAGATGTAGACTATTACAGGAAGTGGATTTCCGTTTGTTTGGTCGGGTGCCCAGACATTCAAATTCAGGCAGTCCTCACTAAGCCCGTTCTTAGCATTGAGCCAGCTGGTGTCACCGGCCTGCATTGGCGCAGGGCCAAGGTGATCGAAGGATAGATTCCGGTCGAAAGGCAACAAGCGGGGTCGTTGGAAGCGTTGCGCGGTGGCATAAGGTATCCCAAGCCAAGATCTTACTGTCTGGATTGCAGCAGACATGTTCGTTCCAGTCTGGAAGGTGATTAGAGGAAGCTCGTGGAGTGTGGTGCGTTAGAAGTGCAAAGTGATCGATGGTCGTTTAAACGCAGGTCGCTGGCGACAATAGAGAGTTGACTCCATGCTGCGCTAGGTCTATCGTGGTTATTCTGCGCCCTCGTGAATTTCCGAGATAGCCCCATGTGGTAAGTCTGTCATCGTTCTGATGGAGTGCTTTGACACTCTCCATTTACGCGTTGCATGCGACACGTGTGGTGAGCTGCTAGAGTGATTCCATTCATCGAGATGACATGACCTTAATCCATGACGACTTTGCTACTCCATTGGATACAGCCAGTCAAACTTACCTGTAAGCTGTAAAGGTTTATGACGTTGTGGTGCAACTGCACGTCTGCCAAGCCGCCACCATAACGTTATGCTTAGGACAAGAAGAGCATAAGCGTGAGAGTATCGTCTTAGTGGGGTCCAAAGAATAAGGATGGTCACGTACAAGTCGGCCCGAAACGCGAGTTCACGTGTTAACGCGTCATGCAATCTGTTTCCGTGCCTAACGCCTAACACTATTTCCAGTTCTGACACCGTAACTTTCATTGTACCGAGTTCCTGGCTTCACGGTTGGTTGTTTCCGATGGAGGTAATAAGTTATGATATCAACACACCGTGTGTACGGCTTTCCTTGCAAAGTCCTGGCCTGAACTCTTTTCGAAGAATTAGTCGGCCAATCCCCCGCGCAACAGTAGGGAAACACAAAATTCGTTCACTTGATAGACTACTATGAGACCTGTTATGAATCCCATAAATCTAGCCACTTTAGCTACATATCTCCTCTCAGATCGCGCCTTGGTTATGATTGAAATCACGCCCGGCCGTGACATCTCCCATGAAGATCGGGCCACCACCGCTGCTAGGTGATGCAGTAGTACTTGTGTTACGAACCGGCTCGCATGCTGTTTTGTCCTGCTGTGTTTGTCGTGGAGTTTGGATGAGATGTTTTGGTGGACATGTTTCCTCGGATTTGTGAGACACTTGATGCCTGACGTGCTCCTGCGCCCGTTCGACACCCCTCCTTTTGTCAGTAGCATCCACCCACAACCACAACTGTCCTCGCACCCTCACATAGCCTGGGTACGTCGCGCCGCTGAATTTCGTTATATCAGAATGATTCTGGTGAATGCTAGCATTAGGATACTCGGGCAGGATGGCCGACTGGCGAGGAACGATATCGCCGATACCCGGATAAGCCAACTCCTCATAGAAACAACATATCTCCAGCCACTTGCCTTCATTCGTCCGTCTGTCCTCGAGCATAGTGTGGAATTCCTGTTGGAGATTTGATAGCATTTCTGATCCGGGCTCAAGTACTGCCATGTTGTCCTTATTCGTCTTGCGGAAGAGGTTAGAGAGTGCTGTGAGCCGCGCCGCCCAATCTGCCTTGCGAGAGCCAAGGTTTGGCATGCCCATAAAGGCTATTGCGGCTGTGCTAGGAAGAAGGGACTTCACGTGCGGTTGCGAGGTACCACGGGAGATGAGCAAAGCCTGCTCCACTACCAAACCGCCTAGGCTATGTGCTACGAGAATGATGGGACGTTCAACCTATACCAATCAGTGGCTTAGCCCGCAATAGATCACTATTCACGTACCGAGTTTGTTCCAGCCCTTCGCAGCGAGACATCCTGCGCCAGAGACTTTCCGTGGTCGCGGATCGTGTTTCCAATAGCGATGTTGAGGAGCTTCAGTACGTCTGCATCGTAGTCGAACGTCAAGATTCGCACATTCTTGAGCTCCTTGGCGAGGAGATCTTGGGGCCAGAAGATTGATGTGGGTTTGTAGGTCCAAGTGGAATCGCGTCCACCTGTGAGGCCATGGGCGAACACGATGCTAAGATATGTGTTAACGAAGTAGTGTATTGTGGTGGTAGGCTCCTCCTACTCGGTGGTGTCGTGCTGTCCTTCGGCTATCGTTTTCAAGCCATAGTCGCGTGTCGTGAAGAGGCTTTTCTCGGTTGGCTCTTTTTCCCGGCTTCTTAACTTGAGACGGTGGAGGATCCCTGGTCTTCGCATCGTCACTGTTACCGACACAGCTATCCGATCAGCTCGCCGGTACTGATGTGGAGTTAGGGTTATGTCGAAGCAGACTGCGGAAAAGTCGGTACGTATGCGCAGAGCACGGGAGCTTGAGGCCATGACTCAAGGCGGGAAGAAGCGAGAGCAATGGGAGATCTTCATGGGCAAGCATCTACCTGGCGAGCGCGAATTCTTCCACAAGTATCAAGCAGAGTGGAACTTTGCCCTACTAGGCCGGAAACAATAAATCAGAACTGCTCATACCCAGCTGTACGTTTGGAATTAGAAGTATGCATGATTATACTGCTTGACATGCAGTACTCCCAAGGTGTATTCATTCCCTTCTAACAAGATCGGGTCTAAGCACTCTAAAAGGAGAGTGAGATGATCCAGTGGCAGTGTCACTAGTGTCGCTAACTTGGTGGACCGACTTTCCGCCTACCAATCACTATCACCGGTGACGCAATGTATCGCTAACAGTCTTGCAAAGCATCCAATCTTGGACACCACCTTGGCTATATTAGCAATGTCCTGATCGCGATTGTTTACCGGTGATCACCGAAAAGGCAGGAACTCAGTGGCGGCAAGCGCTGCTGCTCCATGGGTAAGCGGGGAACCTTACGACTGGACGGATAACGACGTTACACAACCACGTCAGCCCTCAGCTTCGTGGGGGGCAGCGGCAGAAGAACACGCTCAATGTCTCTATCAGCGCTGGCTTTCGCTGCGCCCTGTCTCTCATCATCGCATCTTGATAAGTATCGCACATTTCACCTCTTCCAGCAATGGCTAATGCGGCGAACAAGACCTACGCAGAAAGACTCCGAAAGCTAATGATATTGGGACGTTCAGTTCCCAGCAGGAACTGAGTAGAAATAGACCCGTGCGTAGCAGATCTGGTCTGAGAACTAAGTAGTTGTCACGATGTTCTATCATCACAGGATTCCAGCCACAGACTGGTGAGCCACCGGGAACCCTTCGGGGCACCGTCGGCCTACACCAGCCACGATCACGTGACGTAGATACATATTATTCCTCTAGGAGGCTTGATAGCTCCTCAAGGATTTGTCTCAATACAAGCCTATACTAATATCTTAGTGCCTGCCTAACTACTCCTTACACTTACACGCTTTAGCCGCTTAATATAGCATACTTAAAGAAGCTAAGAGAGCGCTTTTTTAAGTATAAAGGCCTAGTACTTATAAAGAAGTCTAACTTCTTCTTGCTATTCTAGAATGCCTAAGTAGCTAGCTTTACTAAATTAAATATACTTAGCTTCTTTTAAGCAGTAGGTGTAAGCTTATTTAACTCTAATGTAATACTTAATAAGTTTGTAAATAGCAAATCTAAGGCTCCTATCTATAAAGGAGAATAGTAGAAGTTTCTAGACTAAGTAGCAAGGCGTACGTCAAAGAGTACAATAGAGAAGGAGGTATCTATAGTTTAGTAATTGCTCTACTATATAACTATCTAAAATACGCTTCTAAGGAGCAAAAATAGAAGTCTAATAGACGCTCTTGCTACAAAGAAGAAGTAAGAGAAGTAAAGTAAGCCTCTAGCTTTGCTATAACACTATAAGTACTAGAGACTGTATATAATGTAGACTCCTTGCTCCTTCTAAGAAGCGCGTACATAGATAAGGATAGCAAAGCGTAAGGCAGAGGAGGAGGAGTTCTAAAAAGAAGAGGCAAGAAAGTCAAAGGCTGCTACTATAGCTTAAAGAAAATAAATTGCAGAAGAGAAACGTTAGAAAGCAGCGAGGGAGAAGAAAGAGCGAGAGAAGAAGCGTGCAGAAGAGCGCTAAGCTATTGATGCGCGCAAAGTTAAGAGAGTACGCAAGAAACAGAAGCGCGACTCTTAAAATAGACCTTAGACCGCCTAAAAAGGCAAGCGCAAGGCCTTACATCAACAAGGAGTTGAAAAGAGGCAGAAACGTAGTTCTGCAGCTGTGCAGAGTGGTGGTGTTGCTCATGAGCCGTCCTTAGCATCTGCACCTACAGTGAACAGCTGCGGCCGTAGAATACTTCAGCCACGTAAGTATCGGTAGCGAATTCTGTCGCATAGATTTATAGATCACTCCACCAAGATATCTAGTTATAATAGCTATTGTATGTGGCTCTACAGCCTCAAGTTTGCTGGTGATGGTTAAGGCCGATTCCGCGCGTTAGCCGACGGCGCGCGTTGGATATACGGGCACGATACAGGGCCACATCAAGCGCCACGCTGGACATCGAAGCACACCTCCTTCCCATCGAGTAGCAGATATGAAAACACAACGCAGACCTCATTACTCGACTCCTATCGTGCAAGCCCGCAGCAGATATCGCGGGCCTCAAGACAAGTGTAACAGAAACCATAGACACAGCTAGAAAGCGCAGGAAGCACATCAACTCCTGGCAGAGGATTTACGATGACATGAAGAGCCGGCGACCCCAGGGTTTTGACAACCAGGAACAGATCCCACCCTTCAGGACCCCGCCATGGAGACGAGGCCCAGCGACGCACATAGATAACAGGGCCGTAAAAGCACTACAGAGACACGATTGCAAGAACGATACTGGCAGGTGCTTTAGCATTTACTCGGATGGCAGTGGCATAGATGGCGAAACAGGACCGGCAGCGGTGTGCCCGCTCACCCAACAATCTCGCGCTGCGCTCATGGGATCTGTAAGCCTAGGACCACATCACATGACTGCAGAGCAGTCATGACTAATGTGTCCGACTATTTCAGAGCTCAGATCACACACTCGTACATACACACAACAATACACTCATACATGAGATCCTATACTACTATTACCCCTAGCTTACACTAGAAGACTGCATTACCCTGAAACTTGTGCCTAGACTAGGCTGAATACCAATTCCGGCTGATTAGCAACTCCATCGCGAATAGCCTCTCCATACATCACGCCATCAACATAACACTCACCGATGAAATGGAATATCCCATCCTCTCTTGCAGGTCTCAAAACGAATGGAACCAGACCACCAAATAAAATAACAACCAAGTCATCTGTAGCTGCACATGCCGGACAAAGTCCAATCTGCTTGTTAGCCATGCGGAACATACATTTTTGGATACAAGGCAGCGAATTATTATCAAAGTCTTGAATCGCGTGATTTTCGAAATGCCTTTTTAAAGCTTGGTCGTCTTCATGCCAACTTCCACGTTGTTTGGATGCTCTCCAGAAACCCCCGGACGACGAGGGATCAAAGACTTGCACGAACGCAGCCCACATTTCCGGCGAGCAATCTTGTTTTTTGAGATGCTCGATGCTCTGAATAGCCCCGAGTAGGACCCCCCTGAAAGAAGGTATGCCCCAAGTACATTTTCTTGCATCAGATGATCGTGCATTTCGCGCATCAGATCCAATCAACTCAAGATCTAGACCACGATGCCCACACGCACGGTACTTGCAGTTAGGATTCAAAGCAAGCGTTCCACGACTCCACCGACTGTACCCGTCGGTCCAAAGTGTCCAAGATGGTCGCTCTCGCCCGATCTCGATCGAGCCGCTTGTATCGACAACCTTCAGCCACGACCGGCCATGAAGTGCGTGTACTGCTGACAGTATTCTGAGCGAATTGTGATGTTCTATCCACCAGAGCGAAAAATCTACGAAGACCGATGTTGTCTCCTTGTTGTAATCGGGCCGTATCTCGTCTGGGAGGCTGGCGACATTCCAAGTCTCTTTTCCGAAGCCGAGCAGCGCAAAAATCTTGTCCCGTGGATCGCTAGATTTCATCTCTAGGCCACCGATTAGGACGTCTAAAATGTCACGCCTACTGGCCGCAATTCCAGCACTTCTTGGACACCCTGGATTATTGCTCGGGCATTTGAACAACTCGCGCCAGAGCGCCGGCAAAGTGGCGTGTGAGCCTTGAATGAAGCCTCTGTAAAAACAGAGACTTGCCCGCATCATGACGAACCAAGGTAATTCAACATCTCCACATAGCACAGTGACGCGGTCGAACAATCCCCCACGAGTTGCACGATCGGTCTGCGCATTCCATACTTCCTGCACTACCCAGACGCGCTGGAACCATGGCCTAGTGAAGATTCGGTCGAAATGAAAGACCGTCACACTTGTTCCTTCGCAGACAGAAGCATGGCCTTTGTGGAACAAGGGTAATTTTGCACAGCCCGCGCTATGTGTATTTGACCCGAACCCTGAGCAATAGCTGGTGGCGATTTGTCTGTAGCGGGACAATGCGTCTTCAGTGAAGTGCGTCTCGCTTAATTCTCCCAGCCAAACACGCACAGCTTTGGCCTGGGCATAAATTTTGCCCATCAAGGCGACTTGTTCGTTTCGTTCGCGCAAATTCTTTTGGTTGATGCTCAGGAAGTCGATCCAAAATGTCCTCGCTACAGCAGGTTGTCGCAAGCGAAGTAGAGCCGCATGGAGATTCCTCTGTATGCGCATGCGTTGGCGTTTGGCTGGATCTCCCTGTCTCGTGAGGAATACGTGATACGACCGAAGTTCCTTGTCCCAGCAGTACGACAGTGCTTCGTATGGGATTTTGTGCTCGTCACGCAGTGACGTGTGGCATAAGATAAGCTCAAGTTCCTCTTCCACAGTCCCTGGTTGGATAGTCACCAGACGTATTTCTTCGATTTCCACGTCGAGATTACTGTATCCTATACCGTGATCCAACAGTGCGAAATTGTTGATCAATTCTTCATCAGAAAGAAGCCACTCGAACCAAGTCTCAATACGTGCTTCGATTGTATGATTGACCCACCCATCAAACATAGCTTTGGGTACAAGGCTGATGACGTGTCCACTCCTCATACGTGCTAGAGAGTTAGATGGGGATCGAGAAGCCGCTGGGTGCAAGGTTATCACATTACCCATGAAATCTCTGGAGTAATGTGGTCGGGAGTCCCAAGAGACTTGATGAGTATAGGATTCCTGGACGGCTCGTCGATTTGAACAGATGTCTTCACTGACGAATTCTGTGCTGCCGTGCATGTCGTTGACGTGCACTTCGAAAAACGTTTGGGTGTCGAAGTAGCTCCCTTTTTTGTCTGGGTGAGAAGAGCTCCAGCCTTGATCATGTGACGTGATAGTAAAAACAATGCGACGGACGGCGAGCCGTTTCCCAGATTCCGACGGCTCTGGCAGAGCCAGTGAAATATAGGGTACAACGGGACAAAACTGGCATGTCGTGGTTATTTCTGATCGTTCGGCGACAATATTTATCCAGTCGGTTTCGAGAGGTACTTCCATTTTAAAAGCTATG